TGTTCACGAGATCGAGACGAGATTTTAAAACTATTAAGAAATCTTCAATGCTAAATTATTTGACAATTGTGAGCATTAAATAGTTAATTTCCTGCATTCTGGTGAATTTTTCTGCACCAATTTTATGGTGGAAATGTTTTTATCTATGTAAATTGAAACACTAAATTCATGTGGCAGGCGGCGATTCAAAATAAAATTGAATATAATGATAAGAACGCTCTCAGGCATTTTTTAAATTCCTGTCAGATATGTCATTTTTTAAAATTAATCTTAATTCAGTTATTAACACCTGGAATTCAATGGCTCCTGTGTTTCCGCAGGTTTTGTGCTTATGTTCAAAACTTTCTGCACATTCAAAATCTATCCCACACATCTGTGTTCTCTGACATGTCGGGAAAATTTTTGAAATAGTATGTGAATAACGTCATTTATTGAGAACTTAACAAATCTACCTGTCCTATACTTTGGAAACTGTAACTAGACAACACTTCTGATCAGGCATAAATCACCGAGTGCAGCTTAGTCCCAAACAGAGCAAGTTTGCACTTAAATTTTTAGATGTTTATATTGCTCTAAAACTCACAGCGCAAGAGTTGGGTAGTCACGGCGTAAGCCAGTGTTGCATCAGCTGGGCGGAGTTGAATAGCTCCTCAAGTAACGTTATCAGTTATACATTTGTTTTTCACTTCGTGAGAAAATTTGGTGTGGTCTGACAGCATGTAGAAACTAGACTGCTTTTACCCTGATTACCCACCTCATCACGTGTTATCTCGTCACACTCCTAATACTCAAATATGACCTTGTATATTATACATACATAAAATATTATATTTTTGACTGGCACTGACCTTATAATGTTATACTTCATATTTCATAACTTTCCTCCTTATAGCAACATTGAAATCAAACTGAGAAAAAACACAAATTGATTTGTAGAGTGATCCAGTATATTAACTGTGTCCAAAAGCACACCATTATCACAAAATGACAGAAGCGTGCTTGTTCATATGTAGCATCCACTGCCTCATTAATTAGGGAGATTACAGCTTTCAGCAGCGCTATTGTACTTTATGGCAGTCCTGTGCTTCCTGTTTCCATGGTATCGGCTCTCATGTCATGCATGCGTTCGTCAGCAGGGAGCTAATGGTAACATCTGGACATATGTTTTCAAAATTGAATTAGTTTCATTTTGTGCAGAAGAATTTTCTCTTGCCCCTACTTCTGTTCCTCACCTGCTCACCGATGGTGTGTTTTGTGGGTCAGAGTGCTGCATAGTCAGGTGATCGCTCAGATACTGATGCTGATTCAGTGGATAGCACTGTGGCCTTGCAGCAAGAAGGTCACAGGTTCAAACCCCGGTTGTCCCGGCCTTTCTGTGTGGAGTTTACATGTTCCCCATGTTCTCCTCTATAATGGGTTTCCCCCACCATCAAAAACATGTTAGGTTTCTTCAGTCACGGTCGCTGCACAGCGGCTCCCCACTGCTTCCTTGAGGGATGAGTTAAATGCAGAAAATGAATTTTGCAACATGTATGTCAATGTGAAATTCATTTTAAACTATAAATTTGCCTAATAATAGAGCTCATATACAGTAATATAATGAACTAATACAGCTAGGTGATGGTAGTGCGTGCTGTTATGTCGGCCAGTAGCTCCTTCAAACATTTTTTTTTTTGATGTGCCTTAATTGCTGAAGCACATATCATATATGACAGAAGGAATGGATTAAGTGTCTGGACCCTGGGATGATCACTGCTCATGGCATCTACTGACAACCCAGCTGGACCAAGTTGGACAACGCTTCCCTCCAAGCAGTGCGACCACCCCAGGTTGAGAGTGAAGACAGCTGGGGTAAGAGCCAAGCTAATCCAGCTTGGACCTAAGGCTGCTCCATTACCCAGATTCAGGCAAACCTAGCAATGGGAAATCTGAGACTATTGTGCACCACAACATCATGACTTTCTTCCCACCCCTCATCAGAGGATATTCTCTCCAGGCTCCGAAGCTATGCTGCTGTAGTTGATTTACACCTCAAAAATGTAGTTACTGGTCCAGGCTTACAATCATGATGCTGAAGTCAGGAATGTTCTATGGCACAGAGGAAGGAGATGGATCAAGCTTTGATACGCACACAATATTTGTTTGTAGGATCAGTTCATTGCTGGTTTTAATAATAAAAAGATACATTTATAAGCTGGCAACGTTTCCGTATTATAAATTAGTAGTACTGAGCACAGACAGCATACAAATTACTTTTTGCAAGTTAGACAGTGTGCAGGAGTTTCTTTGCAACTTTTGACCCACTCGTCCCCCTCTGACGCACCTATCTTACATTATAGATGTGAGCACACATCTTATCTTTCATTAACTAGCATTAAAATCTGTGTTTTCATCCCACATGGCCTTAATAAATGAGAAATGTTTGCATGAAGCTCTGGCCAGGTTGTTTCACATCCATGAATTGCACCTGCATAGCTCCCAGGGGTTTGCAATTGCTACATTAAATCTACTGGTTCATCATTTAGTGCAACTTTAGTTTTATGCTTTTAATTACTTTTTTCATTTGACATTGCATGTATGCTCAGATCCAGAAGAATTTACAATGAACAGCAACATAAAAGGGTTCAGTGTTTTGTTCCATGGATAATTTTACAGGACATGTTGGCTGAAAGTGGACAGATGAAATTTTATCTTTTGGTCACACAGCAATCTACCAAGGACGTGTTTTACAACTTAGTGACTTCTTTTGAAGTTTACATGGGTTGCAGTTCCGGCAGATATCACAACCAATAATACACCGCATGCATTCATTCAGTCGGCCGTTATTTACACACGGAAAGTCAAATGCCAAAATCAAAAATGAGGTAATGAAAGGAAATAACTTTTTTTGCTGCTTTCCCTGGTTAGTCATTGTGACCTATGATGAGGTGTGGTAGAATAACATTAATGAAATTGGATGCGACCCAGGACACGGGCACTTTCACTAAAGCGGAACAGAATAAAACCTCTTCTGCCCCCCTCACACCACAAGAGGAAAATTTATTTTTATAGTCTCTTCTGAGATAAGAGAAGATAAAGTTTATTGATCCCAGGGAGATGGTGAAGTCTTAAAATTGCAGTGTTTCCTAGTTTTGTTGAAGTTTGAAGGAATGCTTTTGTTGCAATGATCTTAGACGGCTATACAAGACTATTTAATCTCTCTCTGCATCTTTAAGTTAATCTGACGGAGTTCAGTTCAGACTCGTGTCCTGTTGAAAGTGATGTGACGGAAATGTTTCAGGTCTGACCTAGTGAGATTGCTATTGTGACTTTTACACACTCCCGAAATGTAACAAGAATTGCCAGTACAGAAATGTTAGACATGTTTGAGACATTTTAGAAACCGTGTCTCCGTTACATAATTTGTCAGAGAGCACTGACAAGTACAGCACAGTAGAGCACTGAGAGTGTTATTATTTTCACATTTTAAAATGTTCCACTCACTACATATTTAGGTCACTATTCTGTAAGAATGCAATTTAAGGATATTCCTAAAAACTGGTATGTGTTAGTCTAATTAATATTTGCTGTTATATCATTGTCAGGTTATTTGGAACTGTCAAATATGGATGTGTTGACTGCAAACATCTAGTGTCAGCTGGGCTGTAATTTATTTAGCATTTCTACATCAAATAGTACTTCTGTGTGTCTTCGTGGTGACTATAAAATTTATGATGCACATAAGTTTTCAAAGGTTACCTAGTCTATTTTCTGTATATTTTAGATTTTATGTAAATACATTGTGATTTTTAAATTAAAAATCTTCTTCTGCTCAATACAGTAGCATTTGGATTAATGAATCCGGTCATGAAACAAATGAATTTGTGCATATCAGTAGAGGAAAGTAGCTGAATATGGAAAATGTTTTCCAAACCCTTATGGTTTAGTCCAATTTGATGTTCGTGCCTATTTGTCTCTTTAAACTTTCCTCAACTGCTGCGCTCTGAGCTCTAGGCCTCCTTTAGATGAATCATTTTATCTCTGATGTTTTCAGTCTCAGAGCGACTAACAGGAAGAGGTGAAGCAGCCAGCTGAGAGACTATTTAATGTCACACTGTGCTGCTGCTTCAGTCTGAGCCAATCATTCTTCAGTCAGATTCAGTGAGAATCGCTCAAAGTCTGTCAGAAACCTGTGGTTCAATGTGAATGAACCAGAGAGTTTAACATTAGACCCAGTGAATTACCATGTAGTGGAGGACAGGACATCCCTGTTTGCATTCTGGATATTTAGGGGATTTCAGTCTCAAATATCTGAACAGAGTCGGTTCATGTGTTTCAATGAATCACTATCTCAGATAGAATTTGTTTTGATTTCGGCTGCATCCAGTCTCAGCTTAGGGACATAAAACATCTAAAGAGGAGGTTCTGTCTGTCTTTAAAAGTCTGCAGACTTTAAACACTTTAAATTTAGGTGTATCAATAATTCACAAAGTATTGTAGCACTACAAGTCATAAGGACGAGAGATTGATCACACAAATCCTGTGTAAAAATAGCAATGGTTTTACATCCTGAAGATATATTCTATGGTGTGTGTTTGTTCAGTCCCCCATCAGCCGAAAGTATACTGGTTCTGAATCACCACCCATATCTCAGTTTTTTTTTCAGCAGTTCCAATAGGCCTTTTGTTGTGCTCATTGTCAGAAGTTATTGTTTTCAGACCAATTTACAAAATCTGCTGAGAGCAACTTTTAGGTTATCTTCAGACAACAACACGGCATCCAAAAAATGTAGCCCTCACAAGTAGAACACTGTGTTGAAACACTGTGGGGTCCCAAAGCAGAGGTGCTGACAAAAAATGTGGGTGATCCTGATTGGTAGAACCTGGCTCAGCTTTTACCACAACACAACACTAAAAGTCTTTGAACATTTTACCTTGTGAGAACTCTCTGTGGGAAGAAGAAAATCTAAATAGACTAAAATCAGTGTTGTCAATATTTTTCTGTCTTTCTCTCCTTGGCAGGGCTTCCTGAAGAGCGAGCGTGTTTCCCGGATGGTTCAGAGCGGCGGCTGCTCAGCCAACGACTTTCGCGAAGTCTTCAAGAAGAACATCGAGCGGCGTGTCCGAAGCCTCCCAGAAATCGACGGCCTTAGCAAAGAGACTGTACTGAGCTCCTGGATCGCCAAGTATGACTCTATCTACAGGGGGGATGACGACATGAGGCGCCAGCCACAGCGAGCGCACCTGAGCGCCGTGTCGGAGCTAATCCTCAGTAAGGAGCAGCTGTACGAGATGTTCCAGCAGATCCTTGGCATCCGCAAGTTTGAGCACCAGCTGCTGTACAACGCCTGCCAGGTAAGCCACTAGAGAGATACAGTTACACACTGTATGTTTATTATTGAATGCTCACTTGTAATATGTGTGTGACATTGTCTGTGGCTGAATGATGAAGTAAATGCTGTGGTGTCCTGAGCAGCAGCTTGTCTAACGTCCACTAGATACTGCTGTAGAGGAACTTTAACTGTATTATTTGCGAAAACACACAAATTCTCCAAAAATACAATGTACTTTACCTTTTAAATTTTTATATTTGGCTCTCATGAGCTGGTTTCACTTAGTGTTACCTCTAAAATTTATTTTATTAAGATTATCATGAATGCTGCAGTGCTTTTCCTTCCATGTGATCCCACTCTCTTTAATGTCTTTTTGGAAGTGTGAGGCTTCTTTTTTGAAGACCGTAAGCACTGTGGAAGGCTGTGGCTCAGGAGAATAAACCCCTCTAATTAGAAGATCGTCAGTTCGAACCCCCGGCTCCACTAGTCTGCATGCCCCGAAGTGTCCTAGGGCAAGATACTGAAACCCAAATTGCTCCCAATGGCTGTTCCATTGGTATGTGAATGTTAATTTCTGTTTCTAAGTTGGCACCTTAGTCTCTGTGGTGATGTAGTGTAAAATCACTTTGAGTGGTCCGAAGACTAGAAAGGTGCTATACAAATACGTTTATAAGGTTAAGCACAGTAGCCAGCCATCTGCAGCAGTCACCATATTCCACATGTGTCTTTTGTCGTGCTTCAATAAGCTTTTAATTGGAAAGTAGTGTACTAAGGTAGAGAAGCACATTTACCATTTACCATGTCAAAGCTCAGCTGAAAATGGCATGTAGTCACCTGTGAGCTGCTCAATTGCAAAATAAACCCCAAAAATTTGGTCCCTTAAAGGGATAGCAAGCAATTCTAATCCAATATACTTTTTGTTAAAGTCAGTTAATATTTCCTCACGGTTTGCTAGCTCCAGCCAATCGGCAGCTGTTAAAGCTTGTGCCCGGGAGTGATGGGGAAAGGAGGGCAGTGAGCCAGAGTCCAGGTCAAGTCTCAAGTCTTTGAGCTAGAGTCCAGGTCAAGTCTCGAGTCTTTGAGCTAGAGTCCAGGTCAAGTCTCAAGTCTTTGAGCTAGAGTCCAGGTCAAGTCTCAAGTCTTTGAGCTAGAGTCCAGGTCAAGTCTCAAGTCTTTGAGCTAGAGTCCAGGTCAAGTCCCAAGTCTTTGAGCTAGAGTCCAGGTCAAGTCTCAAGTCTTTGAGCTAGAGTCCAAGTCAAATCCCAAGTCTTTGAGCTAGAGTCCAAGTCAAGTCCCAAGTCTTTGAGCTAGAGTCCAGGTCAAGTCTCAAGTCTTTGAGCTAGAGTCCAGGTCAAGTCTCAAGTCTTTGAGCTAGAGTCCAAGTCAAGTCCCAAGTCTTTGAGCTAGAGTCCAGGTCAAGTCTCAAGTCTTTGAGCTAGAGTCCAGGTCAAGTCTCAAGTCTTTGAGCTAGAGTCCAGGTCAAGTCTCAAGTCTTTGAGCTAGAGTCCAGGTCAAGTCTCAAGTCTTTGAGCTAGAGTCCAAGTCAAGTCTCAAGTCTTTGAGCTAGAGTCCAGGTCAAGTCTCAAGTCTTTGAGCTAGAGTCCAGGTCAAGTCTCAAGACTCTCGTGGTTATTACGAATGTTGTATCAATTGCTGCGTTCAATGCAGGTTGCTTATAAGGACAGAAATACAGGCAAGGGGGGAGGAGTATTAATATACATCAAAGACAAATTTAAATGTCACTTAATTGAACTGAACACCCCCCTGGAATGTCTAGCCTTAAATGTAACCCTATCACCTACTATGAATTTTAATATTGTTGTCCTCTATAATCCACCTTCTCATAATGTTACGTTTTATGATGAATTAAATGTTTTAGTTAAACAACTGGACTCTTATAGAGAGACAATATGGTATGGAGACTACAATATCAGCTGGTCTGACAAAAACTGTAAACATAAACTCAAAGCACTTATGACAAAATTCAACTATCGACAAATGATTGAAGGACCCACAAGGATAACAAGGCAGACTAAGACCCTCATTGACTTGGCATTTACTAACAGACCAATAAATAATAGACCAGACCAACGAATAATAAGGACTTACAATTTGATTACTGGACTCTCGGACCACAACATGACTTTGACTGTTAGGAAACTGACGAAGAAGCGCCTGAAGTACTTTGGTAAACCTGATCATGAAAAAACACAGTTCATTATTCCTAAAAGTAAAATTGTGCAATTTGAAAGGGAACAAATTATGACACTAGATGAGGTAGAGGAGTGTTGTAATTCCATGACCACAGCTATTACAAATCTGTTAGAAAAATTTACAAAGCAAATAAAATCTAAACAAAAAGAATCTACGCTGCCCTGGATAAATAATGAAATACGAAAACTCATGAAAAAGCGAGATTTAGCTTTGAAAACATCTCTAAGATCTAAACTAAATACTGATCTCTTGATTTACAGAAGTTTAAGGAATAAAGTTGTATTTGAGCTGCGGAAAGCAAAAGCCACATATTACACTCAACTAATTGACAGTGCTACAATAATTCACTTTCACAACATCAGTGGCAATAGTATAACCAATAGTGCCACTATGGCCGATGAATTCAATTCATATTTTGTACAGTCAGTTCAAGAATTATCAAAAGATTTCCAGCCAGTCGATTCTCTCAATCATTCATTGAGAGTCACTTCAATAGATTCCTTTTATATTAAAGAGGTGCCGGATACAAAAGTTGCAGAAATAATCAATAAACTTTCAAATTCCAAATCCAATGACATTTTTAGGATGAATAGCTGTTTTCTTAAAAAGTATGAAGATCTTTCCATAAGTACATTTCCCAGTGCATGGAAAAAAGGAATAATCATCCCTGTGTTCAAAAGTGGTAGCCAAGACTCAATGAGCAACTATGGCCCTATATCGATTTTACCAGTTTTATCTAAAATAATTGAAAAAGTTGTAGCAGCGCAAATGATTGACCACTTAGAAGCCACACAGCTCCTCCATCCACACCAGTTTGGGTTTAGACCAGGTTATTCAACTGAAATAGCAAACTGCTGTTTAATTGAAAATGTAAAAAAGTCCCTGGACAAGGGCAATGTGGTGGGAGCTGTATTTATTGACCTTAAAAAGGCATTCGATACAGTCAACCACAGTTTTCTTTTATCTAAAATGTTAAATTTGAATTTCTCAGATGAGGCAGTGTTGTGGTTTACATCTTATCTCCAGTCTAGAGTACAGTGTCTTAAAGTTGATCAAGACATATCTGAACTCTCAAACATAAAAATGGGCATTCCACAAGGCTCTATACTTGGCCCTTTGCTATTTGGTCTCTTTATAAATGACTTACCTCTGCACTGCTCAGGTGCCAGTTGTCAGCGCTATGCGGATGATGCAGTTCTTTATGCACCTGCCAAGTCACCTGAGCAGGCTGCAGCTGTACTGTCCACCAGTATGTTGGACATCCAACAGTGGCTCATTCAAAATCAGCTAGTTCTAAATCTCTCAAACAGTCTCGATGTGCTTTTCCATAAAAAAACTTGTTTTAAAAGAAAGATTTAATATTAATTTACAAAATAAAGAAATTCATCCAGTTACAGAATTTACAATATCAAGGATTAGTTTTAGATCCTCAACTTAAATTTGACAAGCATATAAAGATAATCTCAAAAACAATACAAAGTAATCTCAACTGTTTCAAACTAATGAGAAGCTACATACCAAACCAGGCAGCCCTTCTGTACATGCATGCTATGATTTTTTTCTCATATATCATACTGCATGACAGCATGGGCAAAAGCCGCTCCCACTGCAACCAAACGCATATGCTCTCTATACAACCGAGCAATAAAAATTATGGATAGAAAACCAATACGCCATCATCACTGTACCATCCTTAAAAAATATAATTTAATGAATTTTGATAGCTTTAGCAATCTTTGCTTCCTTAAATTGATTCACAAGTGCATTAATCACTTAACACCTGAGCCACTAAGTTCATTTGTTAAGAGACAAAACAGCATTCGAGTCACTAGGAGCTCCACAAATCATGACTGTAAAATACCATACTGCAGGACCAGCTTTGGACAGACGACCTTCTCTGTGAAGAGCTCCAAACTCTGTAACTCATTACCATCTCACATCAAGACTGTACCTGACTTTAAAATGTTTACTTTCACGGTTAAAAACTGGTTAAAGACAAACCAAAAGTGTACTCATTTTTAATTATTGTAAGTAGGTAAGAGTTGTATATGATATGCATGTTTATATATCATATTTATATGATTTTTTTTAAATTGAAGTAGTGAAGTATGTAAATTCTAATGTGTATAAAAGCCCAACCAGGGACAGGAGTTGAAAATTAGCATTAGCTATAAACTTTATATGCAGCACTTCAGTTTGTTTGTTTGTTTGCATTGTCCATGTCAAATAAATAAAATAAAATAAATAAAATAAAACTGCATAGCTATAAGGAAAATTGTAACTGTAACCTGTTTTTCATTTACAGAGCACAACCATGTAATGTGCAATGCAATTATTGACAGCTTATTAAATACTGTAAGTCAACACACTCCCCAGACTCTTAAACCATTTTTACGTTATAACTCAATAAAACTGTAAGGTTACATGATCAACAATAAACCTGTAATCTCTTTCTAGCCAACAATAATAATTAATGTGATGGCAGCCAGCGGGACGTAAATGATTACGTTAATTGACTACCACAAGTTTGGCAAGTAATCAAAGACTCATTCGTGTTTTCAGGTTACTGACCTATTTGCGTTCAGTGCTTCTGTGTTTGGGTCTTGTTGGATGAAGTTTCAAATCCAGAGTTTATGATGAATGACACAGCAGCTTCCGGTGTTTGTTGTCTTCTCTCATATGCGGCCACGCGCAGCAGATGCTACGTGTTACGTAGGCAGGTTATAGGTAACGGAGGGAGGGAATAATGGCAAGCTCATCGGACGTTTCCTAAAAAAATAAACATTGTTCACGAGTCACGCACCTCGA